CCACATTCCTTACATTCATAGGGTTTCTCATCACTGTGAGTGTTCTGATGAACTCTAAGTATTGAAATGAGCCTAAAGGACTTCCCACATTTGTTGCATTCAAAGGGTTTCTTTCCACTATGAATACTCTCATGCTGAGTAAGTTGTCCAGACACACTAAAGGCCTTCCCACATTCCTTACATTCATAAGGTTTCTCACCAGTGTGAACTCTACGATGTATAGTAAGTTTATGGCTATAAATAAAAGCTTTCCCACACTCTTGACATACATAGGGTTTCTCTCCAGTATGAATTTTCTCATGTCTAATAAGATATGAGGCACAAGGAAAAGACTTCCCGCATTCTTCGCATTTGAAGGATTTGAAACCAACATGAATTCTTTTATGACGTGCAAGGTGTGCTCGCTGCCCAAAAGCCTTCCCACATTCCTTACATTCATAGGGTCTCTCGCCAGTATGAATATACTGATGGATTTTAAGGGATGAATTGAGCGTAAAGGACTTCCCGCATTTGTTACATTCAAAGCGTCTCTTACCATTATGAATACTCTGATGTCGAGTAAGTCGTCCAGCCACACTAAAGACCTTCCCACATTCCTTACATTCATACGGTTTTTCAACACTATCAAATGTATGATGTGTGGTAAGTTGATGGTTACTACTAAAAGCCTCACCATACTCTTTACATTCTTGGGGTTTCTCGCCAGTGTAAATTCTCTGATGTATGGTAAGTTGATACTTACACTTAAACGTCTTCCCACATTCCTTACATTTGTAGGGTTTTTCTCCAGTATGAATTCTTTTATGACATATGAGATGTGAAAACTGACGAAAGGCCTTCCCACAGTCCTTACATTCGTAGGGCTTCTCACCTGTATGAATCCTCTGATGTACTTCAAGACCTGATTTAAGCCTAAAAGACTTCCCACATTTGTTACATTCAAAGGGTTTCTCGCCGGTGTGAATACTCTGATGTCGACTAAGTCGTCCATATACACTAAATGCCTTTCCACATTCCTTACATTCATATGGCTTCTCACCATAATGAAATCTATGATGTATAGTAAGTTGATGGCTACTCCTAAAAGCTTGCCCACACTCTTTGCATTCATAGGGTTTCTCAACATGAACTTTTCTATGTTGAGCAAGGTTTGCAGGATGACTAAAGGCCCTCCCACATTCTTCACATTCATAAGGTTTTTCACCAGTATGGATTTTCTCATGTTCTCTAAGGTCGTTAAGGTGGCTAAACGCCTTCTTGAACTCTTCATGGTGATTGAGTTGCTCACCACTATGAATATTTTGATGTTCTGTGAGTTCTGTAAGATGACTAAAGACCTTTGGACATTCTTTACAGTCATATAATTTCTCTCCCTTATGAATTC